TGTCCTAAAATTGATGAAGAGTTTGCTAGAATGTCTAAAATTTTATATGCAAATGTTATTGGATCTGTCATGTATTTAATGGTACTTGGAGTAAATAAAAAATAATTGGTGATGTTTGCTCTTAGCTGCACTTGTTAACCCAATTTCTGGTAGCAATGTGGAGATTGTTGAGGCTCGAGCTTTGATCTATGATGTACTCCCAAAATTGGCTTAAAATCGTGTTTCTGCTGGACCTATTTTTCTTAATAGTGCACTTATTATGAGATGGTGACATGTGGGTTATTTCTGGTCTTTGGATTATTGCGTTGATGGTGTGAGATATATGTGTGTGTGTGTGTGTGTGTGTAGTGAAAGATATTTTCATTCGAATCTACCTTTTGAGTTCTTCGTCTTCTGGGTTCTTCTGAGAGTTCCCTTTTCTTGTAGATTAGGGTTTGGTCATTCATGTTCTTCATCTCTCATGATGAACTTGTAAAGTTGAGATCATATTTGTTGTTAGTCTCTGTAATCTATTATTTGATCGATTGCTGTGAGAATAAGGGTTTTCTTGTGATCGCGATTTCAGTCAGCTGTTGTGGGGTTTCTTTTGTGATTCACTTTAGATCTGCAGTTTTGTGAGAAAGAGATAAGTGTTCTATGCTTTTCTCTTGTGTTTGGAAGAACTATTTGTAACTTGTTGTCATTTTGGGCTTATTAGTGCAATCGAGCAAATGTCCATTATTTAGATACTCAACAGGGAATGTAGGCGTTGGATTTGGGTCGAAACAATTCTTTGTGTTCGGTCTTTACTTTTCTACAAAGTTTGTTTTTTGATTTGTTAAAATCTTGTTTTAATATCGTATGTTTGGGCCTTTTCAATTATGATGATCCTTAGGTTCCCCTTTGCCTTGGTAGAAAATCACCTTCATGGTAAAGTTCAAGAGGAGCGAGTCTCTCTGTATAACATTGAGAATGGGTTGTCATTACTGAGAGCAAAAGGAAAATAATTCTGACCCATGTTATTGAATGAAATGAACTCTACATGTTGGTATAAATAGGCAGCTCACTAACAAACAAATTACAAGAATCAATACAAAATTGACACGAGGATGATTAACTATCCTAATAACAAACTAACGTCCAGCTATGTAACTAATTTTGTAGCTGCTTCTGCTTTCCATATACTCTATTACGTCCCCTCAAGGTGGACTATGGAGATTAATAATGGTCATCTTGGACATCAGTGGAAATAGAGAAGTGGCAGTCAAAGTCTTAGTGAATATGTCAGCTAGTTGATACTGAGTGCGGACAGGAAGTAGCTTGACAAAGCCATTGGTGATCTTGTCTCGAATGAAGTGGCAATCCATTTCTATATGCTTGATTCTCTCATGAAATATAGGATTCGTAACGTGTATGGCAGCTTGATTGTCACAAAATATTAAAGCAGGTGCACGAGAAGAGACATGAAGGTCATGAAGCAACTGCTGAATCCAAATAAGCTCACTGGTAGTTGAAGTCAAGGCTCGATATTCCGATTTAACAGAAGATCGAGATAAAGTGCTTTGTTTCTTTTCTCTCCAAGATACCAAAGAAGACACAGAATCCCGTAACTAATTTTCTTGTGTCAAGGCAGGAACCCCAATCACTGGAAAGAGGATTGGGCTAAAAATAGAAGACCTTGCCTTGGAATTGCTTTGAGATATTGTAAAAGATGATGATCAGCATTAAGATGAGGTTCCCATCTAGTGTCAACTTCATTAAAATAACTTATGTCCAAAAAATTATAGGGCTAAAAGTTCAAACAACTAAAGACTTAAAAGCATATTCATGAGGCTCACTATACATAAAAAAATATCTTATGGATAATGATAGAGAGAGTATTTAAGGAGTAATCGTTATACAGTCCAATGATACTTTTTACTTTGGTTCTTCATTTTATTTTCTTCAAGAAACATTTTATTGATTTTCTATTATCTTTTATTTAACATATTTTTTAGACGCCGATGAACAATCAATTCTAATATGCTATGAAGAATTTAAGAAGTAGAGAGCATTAAAAAATGTAATTTAAAATATGTTTGGCAACCAATATATACTCCTGTAATTTAAGAAGTGAAGAGTGGAGTATCACTTTATAAATTCTCTCAAACATTAATTTCAATCACACACATTCATACTTATTTGTTATTTACACATTTCGTGAAACACGCTACTCCTCTTTATAAATTTGTCAATTGGAGGCTATTAAATGCAATCATTATAAAATAAGAATATAACTAAACACGGCTTTTTTTATGTTAATTAAAATAAAAATTCTCCTTGAGTTTATTTTTAAACATTAAGTCTTAGGAATAAATAATATCTTGTATTTGAAAAATCTTTTGAAGATGTCAAACAACTCAAAATTAGGGAAAATGCTAAAAAGTCAAACCTAAAGACAAGATAAGGTGGATTAGCTGATCAACCACAAAATGACCTATCATGTTTTATTCTAAGAAATTCCATTATTACTTTGATTAATAAAAATCAAACATATATGTCAAGAAGCCACCTCATGATGCTTTTCAATTAGGAGTTGTTTTTATAAACTTGGTTGTGTCATATACCATGTACAATGATATAATATGTCGTGGATACTTATATACTATGAACGATACCAAAAAAAAATAAACTTTTCAACTGTGTATATTCTATGTATTTTTATAAGGACTATCTGCCATTGCTAAGAGTTATAAAAGTAAATAAAAGTTCTACCAAACAAGCACTCAATGAATTACGAGTGCGTCGTTCGTCTATCTTATTTAAATATCACGATAGTGTGTGTGAAAGGGAGAGAGCGAGCACGAACGATTTACTTATTTATGAATAACATCAACAATACAGAAGCACTTAAAGTTGGAGAAATTAAAATACCATTTAAATACATCCAAACCAAAAGGAAAAGGAAAATGACAGGGGTACAATTTAAAGAAACCCCATCTCCAGAGGGAATTCATGTACAGTTTTCAAGGTCCTCTCCACTTTCATGCACTTGTGAGAAAGAGATGCACACTTGTCTTAAGCGTTGCTCCTGAAAGATCCCAGTGCTTTAATGGCTGCTGCCCTTAGAATGTACTGGTGGTAGAATGCAGCAATGGCAGCTCCAATGAATGGTCCAACCCAGAAAATCCACTGCATATTTATTTAAACAAAAGTAATAACATATATTAGTCTAAAAAAACACTGTCTAAATTTCATATATATTCAACATACCCTCGTTAATTTTTTTATCAAATATTCTGCACTTCTTAACAAGTGAAGACAAGACTAGAACTAATTAAAGAGGTAAAAGTGGGCATACATGGTCATCCCAGGCCTTGTCTTTGTTGTAGATGACAGCAGCTCCAAAGCTCCTAGCAGGGTTGATGCCAGTTCCAGTAATGGGGATGGTGGCAAGGTGAACCATGAAAACAGCAAATCCAATGGGAAGTGGAGCCAAAACCTTCATATATGTAAGATTTAAATCAATATTTTCAAGAATATAATATCAGAGTTTGGGTTAGAAGACCGAAAAAAAAAAAGGTGCTTACAGGAACATGGGAATCCCTGGCACTCCTCTTAGGATCAGTGGCTGAGAAGACAGTGTAAACCAAAACAAAGGTACCAATAATTTCAGCACCCAATCCAACACCTTTGTTGTACCCTGGAGCAAGTTCATTTGCTCCACCACCATACTGGTTGTAATAAGATTTTTGGAATGCTTTCACCAAACCCACACCACAGACTGCACCCAAACACTGTGCAACCATGTACATAACTGCTCTGATCAGCGACACCTTTCGTCCCAAGAACAGCCCGAATGTCACTGCCGGGTTAATATGTCCTCCTGTCATATTATCAAAAAATTACTTAATTCTCCAGTAAGTTACTTATCAAAATCTATAAGGAAAAAAGCCTGTTGAGACTGTTAAAACTGACCAGAGATACCGGCGGTGCAGTAAACAAGAATGAAAATCATGCCACCGAAAGCCCATGCAATGCCGAGAATCCCGACGCCGCCGCACTGATCGCCGCCGTGAGCGGGGTCAATCTGGCTTTTGTATCCAATAACAGTCAAAACTGTGATGTAAAGGAACAGTAAAGTGGCAATGAACTCAGCAATAAGTGCTCTGTAAAATGACCAGCTGCTTAGCTCGTCAAAATCAATGAGCGGCGCCGGCGGTGGATCATGGTAGTCCTTGGCAGAGAATTCCCCCGCCTGCTGCTCCACGTGAGATTCGACGTCTTTCGTCATTGGCGAGTGTGTGTGTGTGTTTTGGGACAAAGGTGATACTCAATACTGTGTAAAATGTTGTGATAGAGGATTGGTATTTATGATTATTGTGGGTTGAATAATTAATTAAGTTAATGTTAATAGTTAGCCGCCCAATACAAATTAATGAGGATTTCTTCGCTTGCATGGTCCCACCTTTTGTCATCAACGGGCCCTCTTCACTTTTCTTAATTTTTGGTCGGCTTGGCTTTTAAGCAACATCGAATAAACAAAATAGCCCTTACTATTAAATTATAAAAATACTTTCAATTTTTTTGAAGCTTATCTCCACCACATATTCGTCTCACACTTTTTATGCAAAAAGGTCAATTTTTTCTTTGGATTTATTTGTAAGCAATGGCGGAGAGACGTGGGTACAAGAATAACTATAGGTATTCACTTAATTTTGTTAGGTCGAGGTGTTTTTCTTCTAATATTCAAAAATCTTCGTCTAAATCGGAATAAATGAGTTTTCAAATCTTTTCTTTAAAATTTGAAGTCAATGTTTCTGCGTGAATCTCAGCCATCACTCGTTCTAATCTCAACCATTTTGTGTACTTAAATTCTTCACCTTTAAATTTTTAGAATTTAAGTATGTAAAAAACGACTATTTGAGTTTTACATATCTCTATCTCATGTATCTTAGTTAGAGCTTATATTTTGGCTCTAATGTTGCAAACTTGTTGAGAACTAATATCGATGTTAATCTAGTATGTAAGTTACGAGCATGTTTGGCTAAGCTTAAAATTTAATTAAAATTCAAAATATAACAGTTATTTGGTCTCGCTGTCTAATAAAAGTCAACAATAACTACTAGTTTTTTAATTTTAATCCGATTTTAATCTCTACCGAAAACGTCCATTTAAACTCGACTATAGATTGACTTGTATCTTTGTTTTTTCTAACATAAAAATATTGATAAAGATTAAGATAGGTTGCTACACTGTCTAATAAAAAAATATAATTAAGTTGGATCATAATTTTTAATTTTATCTTGGTGCCTTAAAAAAATCAATCAGTAATTATATGTTTATTATAAATTGGTACTCAGTTGTCATGTTGTGGGCAAGTGGCAGCTTGCCAGTTGAATTTATCTGTGTCACACCTCAAAAGGGTCTCAATGATTTATATTTACCTAACATGTGGCGCTGATTTTTTTGGGATTTTTATGATATATTTCAAATTAAATGTGTAATTAAATGAATATCTCAAATAAAATGTGCAATTTTCGTTTTGTTGCATGCCTTTATATTTTCAATTAACTTCGATTTTGTAGAACAAAGATATTAAACAATCAAATTGCTTTTATTTCTAATTTTTATAGAAAGCTTTATGAGAAATCTACCTTAGGAAAGTCTCTTTTATTCAGATAAAGTACTCTCGAAAATTATCCAAAAATGTTAAAGAAATAAACGCCTTGTGAATGTACTCAGGGGCGGAGCCAAGATTTATATTCGGTGCGGGCATTTTTTCTTCGACGCCAAACATCGTCGAGTTTTTGGTCATGGATTGAATGATGATAAAAATATAAAACAACAGTACGAGAATACTAAAAAGACATAACTGATATATTACACTTGTTCCTTGCGAGTTTTCATACTTTGATATCGCTGTACAATAATTTCATTATCGAGCTTCAAAAATATATCTTTCTCGACATAAACAATCGTACAATCATTCATCCACTGATCACCCATCCGATTGCGCAATCTATCCTTAACAATGCTCATTGCAGAAAAGACTTTCTCCACAGTAGCCGTAGCAACCGATAGAATCAATGCTAAAGTTAAAAGTTTGTAAACCAATAGATATTCCTTATGTTTCTTTGTGAGGACTAACTTCTTCGCAAGATCACCAAGGCCATTCAACCCTTCAAAGTCTTTGTGTGAGCGTATGTCAAAAATATAAGTCTCAAGTTAATCATTAAGTACAAGGAGATCAATTACTGAGAAGTCTGATGGATATAACTCAACAAGTCGAATCAAGCATTTCATGTCAAAAGAAGAAAATGAATCTTGTGGACATAAACTCGCTACACAAAGGAGTAACTCGGTGTTTACCTCCAAAAAACGATCATTCAATTCTTGAAGTTGTAAATCAATGATAGAGTAGAATAAATCTACATGGTAATGATGTAAATTTGCAATTCCTGGAGGATTACGCTGAAGGCGACCACGAAGTGCACGACGTACAAACATATCATTCATGTCAGGTACATCAATATAATGTTGTTGACAGAAAGCACATACCTCTTCAAGAAAACAGTCTCACCCTTCGTCCCTCATTATTTGGAGTCGTCGTTTACATAATTTCACCAATTGCATTGCATTCACAATATCTTGATATTTTCTTTGCAATGCTTTCGACAGTTCATTTGATATCCCCAAGACGTTTCTCATCAACTGTAGATTAAATGCAAAATCAAATGTATGTATCGACTCCAATAAATGTGTTGCATCAGATCTTTGATCACAAGAGCAAGCTTCATCTTCAACAATCATTGCAAGCACATCACTAACAGAAGAAAACATGGCAA